TTTTTTTTTTTTTTTTTTTTTTTTTTTTTTTTTTTTTCAAATTCTAAGAAACACGCGTATCGATCGAGAGAAAAAATTCTTCTTCGTTAGTTTGGAAGGAAGCGAGGAGCAAGGGAGGCTCGATCGATCTTTTCCACTAAGGCGCTAGACACCGAGCGAGACGCGAAGTCGGACGTAAAATTACGGTGCGTATATGTGCACCGGCCGGTAACATTGATCTCCTTTCCTCTCGAGTAGAGCTTGTTCCGGTCGGTGTTCCACCACTCGAGTCCGTCGTTCGTTGCGAAAGGTCGATCGGGAGAGTGAACGACTTTCGAGGCGATCCCTTTCCGTGATTCCGCGCCAACGACCGAATCTTATAACCTTGAGGTTATAAGAAATCCGTAAATTCGATCCCCGATACGTTACGGTGATAAAAATCGTTCCATCGATTTAACCATGCACGTGTCGAACGTTTATTACGAAAATATTCTTCCATCTAGAGAAGCACGATCGTGCATCGAGCATCACTTCATCCTTTGGATCGGTTCCGCGAGCAAGGAAGAGTGAGAGATTGGTTAAAGTTTAAAAAAAGAAATTAGTTTCAACGATTCCAATTCTCCATCTTTTTTTCTTTTTGATTAATTTTTGAAAAATCATCGGTCGAATTTCACATGGTACCTGTTAAAAAGGGATAAAACAACACATCGATATTTGAAACTCACTTTCGTCGGTTTGAGGTGCCGACAAAATGGCACTATGCTTTTTCTTCACATCCTCTACGTTCGTTTGGATCCTGTCTATCATTTCGCGGATTTCCTCCACCTGTGCAATAATTTAAACGTGTTAAATTAATACATATATATCTACAACTAGGAAGAAAGAAAGAGAAGAGAAAGAGGAGGAGATAGGTGAGGGGGGGGGGGGGAGAAAGAACAACTCGTATAAAAATTTATTAAATATTTGAAAATATATTTCGATCGTCGATCGAGCGAAATGAATTCGACTAATACTCTACGAAATGATTATATTTATCGATAAATGAAATATAATTTTTTCGCTTAACACGGTGGAAAAATGAGATGGTCAATGAAATAAGAAAGAATGAAAATACGAGAAGCGCGTCGAAAAGAAAAACAGATAAAAGAAAACGTACAACTGCTTTTAATAAGTCGAAAGGTGAACAGATATCTCTGCGACAATGATATTTCACTTCTGTTAAAATTGTCTCTTCCCACGCGTTCGAACGCGGAAAGATCGAAAAGCGAAACAAACGATCAAAGTTGATACGAGCCCACGCAAACGGTAACTAATGAAAATGCCAAAGTTGCTCTATTCGCACCGAAGCTTCCTGTACAAACCGAATTATCCGGTAAGTACCTACGCGTTGAATTTCGATCGCCCGTATCTGTTACGATTTATTCCAATATTTGGAATTGAGCGAATAACGAAAAAAACGAAAAAATATAAAAAACGAGAAAAAAAAAATATATATATATATACGCATGAAGAGAATGGAAATATTTGATACGATATTTGCGGAACGTGTAACGCCACACGGTTAGTCGGTTCGGAATCGTCTCGACCTAATTCCCCAATATCGAGACGAAACTATCCGAACAGAAATTTTCTTTCGTCCGCTTAGCGATTCGATCGAATTTACTATTACCGAATACTTATAATAATAATTACGCGTAAATAATTTACACGTCGAATTTTCCGTTCGAAAAGAACAATCGACTTCAATCCCGATCTTATTTACAATTTTTACGGAATTATCATCGATTCATCGTATGTCGTATATACGCTGGTATATATATATATAACCTTGACCGAATGAGATAATTCCAAGCGAAAAAAAAAAAAAAAAAAAATTATAGTAAAAGAGTATGATTAATCTTTCCTGTTTCCAGAGCTCGATGTTTCGAGCATAGATACAAATATACTCACTTCCGCGAAAAACTCGGTCATAAAATCATCGGGCCCGCCAACATTGACGGACACATCGTCCGCCACGTCATCATCGTCCGACTGGGCCTGAAACAAACGAACAATCAAAAGTTAATTAAATAAATTTGACGAATTTCGATTTTGCACCGTCACTCACCGTTCTTTCAATTTCAATTTATTTCTGCACCATAGATTTCTAATCGATTCCTCGATTCCTCGCGAAATATCGATCGTTTTTTATATTTTTACCCCTTAAGATATCTTTATCGTGTAAAAAAATTGAAATTTCGATTTTTATCATAAGAAATACGATCGATAATCGCTCGCATAATTATAGTGCTTCGTTTTTTTCAAATGCGCGCCAAACATATTTCGAATACGAATACATCCTTGCTTATCGGTCAGTCGAATCGTCGAATCGTCGAATCGTTGAACGCGATTTTAATTCCCTCTGTCGAATGTAATAATTATATTCCGCCTATTGTACGTTCTCAATGGTCTCTCTAACTTAACCCCTTTGTTCGTATATACATCTCCTTGATTTACCTGGTTAACCAGATGCTGACTTGGCAGAATCTGTCACGAGACCATTATGTACCAAATTTTCGATTAACTTCGTGTCTTTTTTCTCATCCTGTTCTTACCTCTATATATTTTTATCCTCACGATCAAAAGGCGATCCTCACGCATACAAAAGGCGGATGTATACCTCGTTACACACCTCCTTCCTTTATAACTTCCTTCAGTTTTCATTTTCAATATCGTTTTTCAAACGATACATACTCGCACACAATCGTATATGTCTACTATGATTCATCCAATCATGAGAAAAATTGAAAGTCGTTTAGATTCGATAATCTATATGTAACAATATTATAATAAAATACGTTATGTTATCATCAAAAAATAAAAAGAATATGATTAAAAGTTCGTGAATCTAACTTTTATTATTCTAACTTTAGATATTTCGATTGTCAACATTATTTTTTCAATCAAAAACATTGAAAAAAAAAAAAAAAAGAATCGGAATTTAAACTAATTGCACAGAATATCTATAAGATGCAATAAATAATGAGAACAAAGTTAATCGCGAAATAATTCGAATTTGAATTAATGATATTTTTTTTAATACTATCGAACAATATTTGTACAAAGGAACATGAACAAAATGAAATAGAGATCGATTAGACAGATCTAATCGATGTTTGAAAAACAAGTGTGTATCGTAATTAATAGAATCGAATCGTTATCTTCTTATAAGAGTATCAAAAGCTGATTATATTCAAAAAAATAAGGCATGGATGAAAAAAAAAAAGTAAGAGAACAAACGATCATCGAATGTCATGCGCTCAAGAACATGTCATACGCCCAGATATTCCGATCTTTTAAGCATTCGGCGCCTCTGATAATGAATCATCAACATCGACTTTATTCTTGCAGTACAGGATTAGTTCGATTTTCAAATAAATCTAGGAATAATATTCGTTCGATACTCGAAACATTGTATCATGATACTTAATTAGAAAAAGTAAATCTTCCATGGAAAGTAACTGCTTAAATATATATGTATATATATTTGTACCGGTATCGAGAACTCTGTCATCGTTATGAAATAAACGATGACGAAAAACATAGGTATATTGGCAAACACCTGTCAGTCACAGGAGACATTGGTCTCTCTCTCTCTCTCTCTCTCTCTCGCTCTCTCTCTCTCTCTCGCTCTCTCTCTCTCTCTCGCTCTCTCTCTCTCTCTCGCTCTCTCTCTCTCTCTCGCTCTCTCTCTCTCTCTCGCTCTCTCTCTCTCTCTCGCTCTCTCTCTCTCTCTCGCTCTCTCTCTCTCTCTCGCTCTCTCTCTCTCTCTCGCTCTCTCTCTCTCTCTCGCTCTCTCTCTCTCTCTCGCTCTCTCTCTCTCTCTCTCTCTCTCTCTCTCTCTCTCTCTCTCTCTCTCTCTCTCTCTCTCGCAAATAGATATATACGCACATATTCTTTCTTTCTCTACTTATATGTCTCTTCCCATCTTTTTTTCTTGTTTGTTCATTCATTCTTCTCTCTGTTCAACCACCGAATGGTTGACAGTCGAGTAGACACCTCGGAAACGCCTTATTTCATTTTTATTCGTAAACGACCGAACGAACATCCGAATGAGCATTCGGATCGTTTGGTGATCGTCTTAATTAATATTTCCACGAGAAATGTTCGATCTTAAGAAATGAAACGACAATATTATATGTATGTATATACATTGGGTGTGAGTTCATTTCTTCGAACGTTACAAAATACGGACGATGCAAAGAATACGAGTAACAGAATTACGAATACGAAGGCGAAAGAAATAAAATTCCCAAGAATAAAAGATGAAAGTTTGTCGTAGTTTTAAAACGATGAAAATAAAGTCAAAGCAAAAAGATAAAGTGAAGAAAAAAGTATAAGTATTAATCGCGAAGTATTAACGATGAATCAGATTGTTTTCAAAAAAATGTTATATATAATTTTTCTATAACTCACCGCAACAAGAGCTGCTAATCTATCCTTAGTCATGGCGAGGGTGACAAAGTGTTGCGAGTCAGCAAATGTACGGAGTGATGAGACTAGCGACTAATCCCATTCACGATTTTATCCATGTACTATGAGCACGACCACTAAAAACTAAAGGAAACGGACGCACTAGCGGCGAGAGACACGATCGTAAAATCGATACACTCGCGAACTCGCCTGCTTCTGCAGTGCCGTCCGGTGTGCTACGCATGCGCCGGTGACGTCAACTATATTCAGGACCGAAGCTAGACCTCATCGTAGCCCCATCTCAACGAACGCCCCCACCCTTTTTATTACCGATCACATTTACTTTATAAATTTCCTTTTCTATCATCGATATTTATATATCTATAAAATAGAGAACATTAGATTTCAAATTTTTTCAATTGTTCGATATTAAATTTATCGATATATAAATATCGTTTTATAAACGAATATCTTTGTAATTTATTATATTTCGTTTTATCAATTAAATACGAAATATTGAAATATTTTCTTATAAAAGTGATATGAAAAATATCGCAAGATACGATAAATACGATTTAGAATTTATTGTAATGTATTCATTTAACATGCTGAAACAAAAGGAAAAAAAGGAAATAATTTATAAAAGAATTAAACGAATTTCTTCGCTTCAAATTTAATCATTTACCGCCTTTACGTGCCCCAATGCATCATTCTATGTACTCATACTTATATATATATATATATATATATATATACGTATATTATAATTCTCCCGTTAAAAACTGAAATTCTTCGATACCGGCTTCGATGTGGCGCGCATAAAATAGATGTCGCTAACTCACGTTATTTTCTTCTTATAATTTTTAAAAAAAAATACTCTCGTAAATATTATTTTGACAATTTAAATCAAAGAATATTCCAATTAAATTTTTTTATACCGTATCAATTTGATACATTCATTAAGTTGAATTATATTTTACTTAGCGAATGATGAAAATGCGGACCCCTGTCGTTGACTCGAAGGAACGCCATTGTGAACCGTAACGACTGTGTTGCAGGGTAAATTTTATCGGTCATTTTCACGTACACGTTACTTGCCGGGAAATTTTGTACTAATATTCTCAGATTTTCATAGATTTGTAGCAAATTAATCATCGATCGTACGATTTGTTCGATCGTTTGTGATTTTGATGAAATTACGTGTAATCGTGTTGCTAGATTAACGCAAAAGCTTGTGGTTACGACGATAGGCGCCATTCTTTTAGTGGAACGTGGTGAATTTATACGTCGAATTGTCTTAAAGCGCGGGACACTGATCAACCGGCTTTTCAAATTATTATAAAAAAAAATATTAGCATTCTGGTAGGTATGTTTATTTTATTATATAAATACGACATACTATTTTCAAGTTATTACTAGTTCAATTCAAATATCATGATGTGTCGATCACGTTTTTGATGCGTGACTTTCGATCTGGCATCTTTATAGCAAGTATCGAATTTTTTTAATACATATAATAATCTAATAAACTCTTTTATCGTAATAATCGCATCCATCTAATCAATTTTACATTCAAAGTCATTTATTTTTTCCAGATCTCCGTTTGACACTACATCTTTTTGGCTAGTCATTGGTATTAAAATGGCACAAGAAGCTGATATACCTACTTTCAAATGTGTATTAGTCGGTGATGGTGGTACTGGGAAAACAACATTTGTCAAACGGCATTTAACCGGTGAATTTGAAAAAAAGTATGTCGCAACCTTAGGTGTGGAAGTACATCCACTTATCTTTCACACAAATCGTGGTCCAATTCGTTTCAACGTTTGGGATACAGCTGGCCAAGAAAAGTTTGGTGGTTTAAGAGACGGATATTATATTCAAGGACAGTGTGCCGTCATTATGTTTGATGTTACATCAAGAGTGACGTACAAAAATGTACCTAATTGGCATAGAGATTTGGTTCGAGTTTGTGAAAATATACCCATTGTACTTTGCGGGAATAAAGTTGACATTAAGGATAGGAAAGTAAAAGCAAAGAGTATTGTTTTCCATAGGAAGAAGAATTTACAAGTGAGAAATCTATTTTTCTTTCTTTTACTATTATCAATATTATATAAATTTGTAGATTATGAATCCAAATTTGATTTATTTTTTTTTCAAATTTCTTCTAATAAAATAACGTTTCATTAAAAAAGTAATCTTTTTTTCTATAATTGTTTCAGTACTATGACATCAGTGCAAAAAGCAACTATAATTTTGAAAAACCTTTCTTATGGTTGGCACGTAAACTGATCGGTGATCCAAATCTCGAATTTGTCGCAATGCCAGCTCTTCTTCCACCAGAAGTTACAATGGATCCACAATGGCAGCAACAGATCGAGAAAGATCTTAAAGAGGCTCAAGAGACCGCATTACCAGAAGATGATGAAGACCTTTAGTTTGTCACATTGCGCTGTATAATACGAATAGAGGCAAACCATACACGTGCATGTAAAGTACGTTGCGTACTTGTGCCTCTTCATAGGTCAAAGATTCTTTCTTGGGTGGAATTAATATATACATACATACGCTTCTGTTTCGTATCTAATGTAAATGATGGCAAAAATATTTCTAATATTTCACGTTTCTCGAGCTTTGTCCTTGAAGGTGTGCTACCAGGAATTGAACGTTGCGTTTTCGCGGATCAAGATTTCAAGATTGTGTAAATGTGCGTAAATGTATTAGACAGAAGGTCTAATTACATAAAAATATTGTCCAATTCGAGTATAGCGTATCCTTCGCCGATTTCATCGATAGACGTTAAATTGATGAAAACTACTTACTATAGAATAAAAAATTGTCCTTTTCTTTATTTACGTATTATGTATGGGTATGCGTGAGTACACGTATGTTGTTATGAAACGATGTATCTTGCGTAATGGATGCATAACTTTGTCGATCAATTAAATTTTCGGTTTTCTTTGAATCATCTATCTATGCTTGTTAAAAACTCTTAAAACTCTTTTTTGTTGCCAATTTTATATGTCGTACATCGGAACAGTGTATGTGAATTGCCTGTATCAGAGTGGATGAACTGTGCTGTTTGGTAATATATAAAAATGTGAGAAATTAATTCTATAAGAAAGAATCTTTCGATATGGTCGAAACGCTAACATTATAAGCAACTGTTTACACACGCGTTTGCTTGTGCTCACGCCCTGTACACATATACACATACATATACACTAAATTTGAGAGATTCTCAAAGTAGTTGAATCTTTACTAGGTAAATAACATAACATTTTACTGTTACATTACCAACGATAAACGAATCAAGGAATAGAATATCGATCGAATGAATAATGCAACAATCGTTTTTGTGAATCGTCAAACGATTCTCAAACACAGTTGTATTTTGGAATAATGTTTCGAATGGAGCAAAGCACGGTTTGTAGTCAGTTGCGCCTGTCCACGATAATGCGGACTAATATTTTTATTAGCGAAGGTGAATGTATGATTTGTTCAACTTAAATTATATAAACAGTGTTTTTCTTTTCTATACAAACTCGTTCGTTTCGTTGGGAGTCGAAGTTACATACGTTCCTTTCCCCGATTCCTTTGTTTACTTGCTAATTAAATATATACCCGCATGTGCACGAGGGTAAAGTGTTGACAAATACCATAATATTTCTATGGTTAAGAGATAAACGCAAAAATATATACGATAAAATACCTCGTATCGTATATCGTATATTGTACCATTGATGTATTGGACTCAATAAATCATCGTTGAACTGTTTCTTAAAGTTTCCAACATTCTCGAATCATCTCAATAAATTTCTCATATTTCTCTTGGAAAAAATCATAATAAAAATAAAGAAAGTAACTTACGTGGACGACAAAGTTGAATCATTTTATAAAAAATGTATATTAAATCAATTTTATAGGTAATTATTTATTTATTTATTTGTTTATTTATTTGAGAAAGAAAAAACAAAGATACTATTCAGTTTGATACAATGGAACAGTAATACATGTACATTTATAATAATAAACTGTATAATATGAAACCAATGCCAATATATATAGTAATTATCATTATTCTTATTTATTATTAATTACACAATAATATGTGATAATATAATAATAAGCACACATGTCAATATATTCTAATATATCTGATTCTACTTGATTTCTTTCATTTATTTATTATATACGGAATAAATGCACTTATTAAGTTAATAAGTTAAATTAATTTTTCGCTACATATTTTTTCATTACTTTCTTTTTACCTATGAGAATCTCCAGTCGTTCATATTGGTCAAGACTTGGCAAAATATTCGTAATTACTCCAGTTGCTAAAGTTTTCTTTCCGTCTCTTAAAGTAAATCGTTGTCCTTTTTCACACACCATAGGTCTTATTAATTTTAAATGAACACTAAAAACAAAAATTTATGTTCACATCATATTATAATTGATCAAGTTATATACAAGTTCATTTTTCTTGACCAAAAAATATTTAACAAAAACTTACGTAAAATCTTCACCAGGCATGACCAAACTCTTATTTACCAAATTTACTTGACTTGTACAATTCCATGTTTTGCAAAACATTTGAACTTGCATTAAATTATTGATAGGTTTTTTTCTACCTCCTTCCACATCAGTCAACATATATACTTGACATTCCAAATGATCATTAGCTTTCATACTGCCTGGTTTACACATTACCATACCTCTTCTAACATCGTCTCTTTTTAAACCTCTAAGCAAAGCACCCATTTGATCTCCTGCTTCAGCCTCTTCCAACGTTTGACGAAACATTTCTATTGCTGTTATCGTGCTCTTTATCGTTTTGTTAAACCCAATCAATTCACATTCCATACCCTTTTTTATTTTTCCACGTTCCAATTTACCTGTGACTACCGTTCCTCTACCCGAAACCGTGTAAACATTTTCTACCGGTAACAAAAAGGGTTTGTCCAACTCTCTGAGAGGAGTAGGAATATAGCTATCCACAGCTTCTAACAACTTTAATATAGAATCATGGCCTATTTTTGAATTAGAATTATCTAACGCGCAAAGAGCACTTCCTTTAACAAAAGGTATATTATCTCCATCATAACCCATTTCATTTAATAGCTCTCTTAATTCCATCTCTACTAAATCCACCATTTCTTCATCTGCGACATCAATCTTATTTACAAGTAAATAAATACATATATATTTTAACATTCCAAGCTTTTACACATATTCATAATCGATTTACCTTATTAATAAATACGACAATATGTTGGATACCAGTCTGTTTGGCAAGCAAAAGATGTTCTCTCGTTTGTGGCATAGTACCATCAGTAGCGGCAACAACAAGAATAGCCCCATCCATTTGTGCTGTACCAGTAATCATGTTTTTAATATAATCCGCATGTCCAGGACAATCGGTATGACCGTAATGACGTTTATCCGTCTGATATTCAATGTGAGCGACATTGATAGTTATACCACGTGCTTTTTCTTCAGGTGCATTATCGATATCGGTATATTCTTTCGCTTCTGCCAGCTCTTTTTCGGCAAGAACTACGATGAAATAATGAAAAATTTTGACATGTATAGCGATAGAAATATTAAAGGACGAAAAACGAAAAAGTTGAGAAAAAAATACCTTTAGTAATAGCTGCTGTAAGTGTCGTTTTTCCATGATCTACATGTCCGATAGTACCGATATTGCAATGCGGTTTATTTCTGCTAAATATTTTTTTCGTGCTATAAAATTTTTGCGTTATCGATGAATAAGTCCCTGCTCGTAATTGTCCATAAAATTGCTAAAAAAGAATAGAATATATCAATAGAAGAATTAATGATTATGAAAATTATGATGCATTTTCTTACTTGTTTAACAAGATGTTCAATTAGAAATACTTGCTTTATTGTGTATCGAAAACCTGAAAAAAAGAAAACAACATCTTTTCAAATACTTTTCGTTCGATACGATATTAAGAAAAAGATGAAATTTTCTTAAATTCAATTTGATATGTAAATGGCTTCCATCTTTGAGAAACCAAGATATTACATTTTTACATAATGTTGTGAAATGAAAGAATATGGAATAAATCATCCATCATAATTCGGTATAATGGATATATTACATATTCACTTACCAAAATCGCAAATAATTTTTTTACAACTAAACGCCATGTTTCATTCAAAATTTATTTCACAGTTAACCTTTATTTCCAACGAAATCTTTCCAACGAACCACGAACACGATGAGAGCGACGCTCGTGGACAAACTATCGGACGAATTGCGTAACAAGACTAATTATATTATATACAAATATAAACAAAATACTTTATATTTTAATTATCCTTTTTTTTTCCTATACGAGAAATAAAAAATTTAAAAATAATTCTTCACTGGTCTAAATTATTTAATTGCACAAAATCGTACATCGTATCTACTCTTCATTTTTTGATTGGTTGAATACATCGTGGTGCATTCAAGATATCAGATTTGTACTTATATACATTACATTTATATACCTTTTTTTTTCGAATATATTTTACATCACAAGGAATCGAAAATTTTTAATCAATTGTACTAAAATACTAAAAAAAGAAATGAAATAAATCGATAATTATTTTACGATATACGCATGTTCGAGATATGATCGAGGATCGATTTTTCAAAAAAAAAGAGAAAGAAAGATGCGTGCGTGTATACGATGCGAGGTAAAATTAATAAGTGAATCTAATTAGTTCGAAGAAAATAACGAGTCATGAAAGTAAGGTGAGAGAAGATGCAGAAGTTAAGAGAGTCTCGCGAAGACTATTATTAACATCGTTATAATATAATTTCGAGATACTCGGTTAGATAAGAATTGGGATACACTGGGAATAAAAGAGATTAAATTAGATATTTAAATAGATTCCGGATATCCTTATTCGCACATTCCGAAGGTAATCGTAAATGAAACGAGTAGTCGACGAACATCGAGTTATGGAAAACGAGGGGCAGTGACTCGACGAAAATACATTGAATTAAAAAAATCGCATTTTGCGGGAATCGCATCAAATCGTAAATAAATTTGCACGGTAAAACATATTTTGAAATCTTCAATGTTATTATCATTCCTCTTTAACAAAATGTAAAGTTGCGAGCTTAATTTTTCAACGATAATATTGGAATATCAAAAGAAAATAATAAATTTCAAAACAAAATTACTGTTTTCTCTCTTTCTCGATACACATACCATTTTCAGATATTCTCATAACAATCTTTTATCTCGCGTCCAAGGTGCGTTCTACGACGTTCTCGCGGCTGGCTCTTCTTTTGTTCGAGTCTCGGTCGAATATCCATTTACATTCCAGCCCAGTCCATCGCGTCGCTTCCTGTTTCTCGAGCGGTTCTCCGCGTGCCGCTTGCCGTTTCATCCTTCCTCCGCTTATCCAACGGAGCACATGTATCGAAAGAAAATAACTCGCACGCGTCTCGATCGACGAGAGTCGAACGTGTAAGGGGTAAGTTGTGAAATGACGTCGGCTCGACGAAACGGTCGGTTAACGATACCGTTTGTTCGTGCGATGAGGCCCACTTGCACCGGTA